TATGTTAATTTTTTCCATTTTCTTCTGGAAAATTTCGAACTTTAAAATCCCTACTCCCGTCTGCCGAGCCACCGTCTCCACAGCACTTATGGCGGTCCTTGAACGTGTTCCCAGACCGGCGCCCAAGTACCAGGTGGTGGCGGACAAAGGCTTCAACTTCTCCAACGCGGACGACGCCTTCGTCTGTCAGAAGAAGAATCACTTTCAGGTGAGACCGACCGCGACCGCACGCGCTCCTTTACGACTGCGAATAATCAGACCGCAGAGTCGATTCGTTTTTAACGACTGCGAATAAAGATAATGGGGGCCTGGCCTGGGGGGCGATGGGTGGCCTACCCTCCGGGCGTCCCGCGCTCAACTCTCTTCAACGCTCCCCCCTGTTTGCGCAGATCACCTGCCACGTCCGCCTGCACGGCGACGCCCAGTTCGTCCGGGCCGAGTCCAGCATCCAGAAGATCCTGTCGTGGCAGCTGCACTTCTACGGCGTCAAGACGGAGGCCACGGCGCAGACCATCAAGGTGGAGCAGTCGCAGAGCGACCGGTCCAAGAGGGCCTTCCACCCCGTGCAGTGAGTACTCGACCCGGATCCGGCACGTTCAACCGATTTTTATTTTCCAGTAAAGTATTTCAAGAAGTTTAGTAACATCTTCTAACTAAAAAGTTTCATCTTTAACAATTTTTCGAAAAATATTTCAAATTTTTCAATAATTACTTTCCTGGAAAAAAATTGATATTCAAAATTGGCACTTATTTAGGCACTTAGGCACTTAACAGTATACATTTTTATCGAATATTGGGTGGAATAATACTAACGTTACCTATGTTGACGCCTTCTCGATCCCCACCCTATCGATGGCCTTGTGTTATTGCCTTTCGAGGTTCACCCTGACTGACTGCACTATGTTTGCCTGGTACTGACTCTCAAGGGTGGAGCTCCGGCCGGACGAGTCGGTGAAGAAGACGGTGGGCCGGCTGCACTTCAGCGAGACCACGAGCAACAACATGCGCAAGAAGGGCAAGCCCAACCCCGACCAGAGGTACTTCTACCTGGTGGTCGGGCTGCACGCGCACTGCGCCGACGGCAACGCCTACCCCGTCGTGGCGCACAACTCCGAGAGGATCATCGTCCGGGTAAGCGGTCGTTACAGGATGGGGTAAAAATATCACGGCCTCCCATTAGGTTCACTATCACCATAAAGAGTTCACATGGACCCCAATGATATTTATCTCCCGGGGTAAAAATATCATGGGGAATCACTCCAATGATGATGATCTTGAACGCACCTACCCGACGTGGTGGTCACGTGGTGTTGACGGTCATAAACGTTTTTGTTTCCTCCAGGCGTCGAACCCGGGCCAGTTCGAGAGCGACGCGGAGCTGTGCTGGCAGAAGGGCTCCGTGTCGGACTCGATCTACCACACGGGCAAGTGCGGCATCAACACGGACCGGCCCGAGGAGGCCCTCACGGTGCACGGCAACCTGCGCATCACCGGCCACGTCATCCAGCCCAGCGACCTCAGGGCCAAGGAGGCCATCCAGGAGGTCAGTGCAGCAGATGAAAATAATGATGAAGAATAAAGTGAAATACAGCGCTGTAGAGCAAACCGAAAACACGAAAATTTGAATTTGGCGGGTACAGTGCGACACGAGGAAGCAGCTCCGCAACGTGCAGCAGATCCGCGTGGTGCACTACCGCTACACCGACGAGTTCGCGCGCCACGCGGGGCTGCCCAGCAGCCAGAACACGGGCGTCATCGCCCAGCAGGTGGAGAGCATCCTGCCCGAGGCCGTCACCTCGGCCGGCGACGTCGTCCTGCCCAACGGGGCCCGCCTGGACAACTTCCTGGTCGTCAACAAGGTGAGGGGTGCAAGTGCGCGGAGGGATTCTAATTTTTCCGATAAAATATTTCTGGGAAACTTGTGCAGTGTTAGAAGAAACTTGCCATCGAGTTATTTTTAAAGAGATTGCACGACCGATCTGAAGATGACGCGAACCTTGGGTTGATTAGTATCTAAAATAACAAGCCGTTTAATTTATTTTTTCCAGGAACGGTTATTCATGGAGAACGTGGGTGCGGTGAAGGAGCTCTGCAAGGTGACGGACAACCTGGAGACGCGCATCGACGAGCTGGAGAGGATGAACAGGCGACTCAACCTCAAACGCCTGGAGAGGCTGGACAGCCTCAAGTCCGTGTCCTCCAGTGTGTCCATCCGGCCCAGTCGCTCCAGCAAGACGGGCTCCTTCGCCTCGTTCACCGACGGCGTCCTCTGCTCCAACAAACTCATCCAGAGCACCATCGTCATCCTGGTGCTGATCATCGCCTTCTGGTGGGTCCAGGGCCGATGGCCGACAAAGCACCGATTTCGTTCTGTGCATTTCCCTCATTATTTAAGTAGCAATCCTTGACCTCATATTCCTTTCGTGTTTTGCCTACAGTTTAGTTGCGATGGCCACACTGTACTTCCTAGAGTTCCAGAAACGAAATGACAACTACGACATTCCAATCAGGTACGCTTTGAACTCAATGCATTTTAACAAAAAATTGAAAAATTAAATAGTAGTAAAGCTTAAAGCTATACATTGACTGATGGATTGATTGTTGATTGCTTGATCGTCCAGCCGGCAGACCGTTATTCAAACGCAGACTCACCCTCCCGCCTTGAGCACGCCCAGGCCCTCCAAGATGCGCTACAAGTCGGGGGCGACGCCGTACAGCAAGAAGCTGACCACCATCGCACCGAGCATACTGTGAGTGCCACTGCCAAAATAATAAACTTGAACTATAA